TCGGGAGGTACCGTTATATGGGGGCTATACGAAGATGTGGACCTACATGGTCCATTTTCAATACCAAAAGTACTGCAACCATAATACACATTTGTAACACCTTGAAATATACATTTTAGACCCCACAAAGAATATATATTCTTGATCAGCATAAACTTTTATGTCGAATTAGCGATGACCGTCCGTCTATCAGTCTGTCCATCTGTGGAAATCACTCTAGCTTCCAAACGAATTGAAGTAGATTGATAAAATTTTACTCAAATGTACTTTCAGGACTTTTGGTATTGAAAATGGTCTATGTATGTCCACGTCTTCGTATAGCCCTATATAACGGTACCTCCCGATATTCGGTATTTTGATGATTTTTGCGACAATATTCATCGGAATTGTTTCAAATTTGGTATTTGAAGTATGAAATGAACACTACAGCCTATAACAGAAAATCGGCCGTACAGGTTCAAGTCTTCGTATAGCCCCCATATAACGGTATCCCCCGATATTCGGTATTTTGATGATTTTAACGATATTATTCACCGGAGTTGTTTCAAATTTGGTACTTGAAGTTCGTAGTAGATACTACCGCCAAAAACAGAAAATTGTCTGTGCAGGTCCACGTCTTTGTATAGCCCCCATATATCTGTACCTCCCGATATTCGGTATTTTGATGATTTTAGCCACAGTTTTTACCGATTTTTGTTAAGTTTCGCATTTGAATATTGTAATGGCAACTTTTGTCATAAATATACCTATGCAGGCCCATGTCGTCGTATAGACCCTAATGTAAGTCTTCACTCGGTATTTTTAAGATTTAAACGGATTTTATTGTTTTTGAGAATTGCAAAATTCGTTCCAAATGGTGGAGGTTATTCGGAGTTCGGCGCAGCCGAAATTACAGCTTTTTTACTTGTTTTTTTTTTTTTTTTGTAATATCTATATATTAGCTGGCCCGGTCCGCGTTGCCGGCCCGTACTTTTAGTCTTTAATGCATATTTTTAAAAGCATAATAAAACACAGATTTGGCTTAGACTGATCTTATTTTTCAGCCATAAGCTTTAATTGAGTGTTAAAAACCTATATGATATAGAACTTCTATTATAGCTCCATGTTAAAACGTAGCTCAGTTTTTGGTATTGTAAAGCGCTTAGCAACATTTTCCGTCCAAATGAGCCGTAGTTTGGAATTTGCATTTCCAACGTTTAGAATACCGTGCTGAGTGGTATCTAGTTTTCTCCACCTCTTAATTGATGACTCCAGACATTTCGGAATTAATTTCATATAGATCTACATCTTAAATCTGCGTTCACAACCAATATTCTCTTAGGGGTTACAAATTCAAGAGAATACAACATTTCTTTTCTGACCGCACATTTATTTTTAAGGTATCTTGAAAGTTCAGGAAGAATTTCTGCAAGGATATAAATCCTTTAAATGTCCAATTCCCTCTATTCCCATTGGACGGATTATTGTCATATGAAAGAAGTAGGTCAACGTTTTGAAATGAGCCCCATAACGCTTTGTCGGTCATTTTTGCTTGTTTAAATGTTTTCGCATCTTCCAGGTGAAGCACGATGAAGGTCCTGGAGTTGAAAGCTAGATGCCAATTTTAGAAATGAAAGATCGTATTGCGCACTCATTTCATTTTTAATATTATTCATTGAGAATTCAAAGCAATAAAAATTTACACTTCTATATAATATGTCAAATTGAAAAAGAAAATGTACGCCAAAAATATTCTTTTCATTCACATTTTTATTGGCATATTTTCAAGCGATTTTTTTTTTTGCCAAGATACCAGTCCGAAATTGTATGAGTTGTCAATACCCGTCAAGCCATTCTTGAGTTATAAGCGTGGAAGCTAACAAAACTTTCTTTCACATGTTGAAAATAATTCTTTACTTGAAAATTAAAAAAAAATCGTACATTATATAAAATTGAAAAAAAAAAAAAAAACAAAATGAAAATGAAAAAAGAAAAAATCTTCAAAATGTTCGCTAATTTTTAACATTTTTAAAGTTTAAATTAATTTAAATTTTTAAATATTTACAGGTCCTTACGAAGTTTGTCAATGAAATGTACTACTATTTTGAAATTAGATTCCAATAAAAAATGTTTCTCGATTTTTTGCCGATTTTAGAATTTTTGCAATGAGATCTCTTTTTTCGTGATTTTTTAGCGATTTTGAAAAAGTAATTGGTGTGACCGCGTTAAATTATTTCAACATCATCTATTCCATTTCGCCACCACAAAATTCGGTATTACACTCCAATGTAACCCGCCTACAATTTCAGTTCTCAAGAAATCGAGGCAATTAAATAAAGTTAAGCAAATTGAAAAAACCGTTCGTACACGATAAAATAGTGATTTTTATGTTCATAGCTTATTATCTTTAGAAATGATATTATGCGTATAGTTCCACTTACCCAATAAAAACACAATATCTATACATAGCAGTTTTGTCCGTTGTCGCTTTATATTCTCCAAAAACACTGCACATCATATTAGAATTCAAAAACAAAACAATAAAAAAACACTACAAATGTACATTCGAAAATTGTAAGTCAAAATGGAGAAAAATAATGCAAAAAGAACATTATGAAGTCAAGTCATTCAAAAGTTAAAATAAAAATGTTCGAATTTAACATTTTTCGCGATTTTTTCTAATTTTATCCTTTTTGCCAAGAGACAATTACGAATTTGTATGAATCGTTAAAATCTGACCGGCGGTTTTTACTTATGAGCGTAGCAACTAACACACCTTTCTTTTATATATATACTGAGGTCCTGAATTTGAGTGGTGTATCTTAAATCTGCTATTAAAAACGTTCAATACAATTTTTATTACAATAATTAAAAAATGGAAAAGTAATATTAGCTAATATAGGTATTAATAATCAAAAAATACCTAGAGGTGTCATTATATGTTGCATATAGAACCAGTAGAGAAAGTCCTAAAGTCGGGCGGGGACGAATTTATGATACCCTACACCACTTTGCTAATTTAGTAGAGCTCCACATAACAATTAAAAGATTTTATGGGTGAATTTAATCATACACGCTATGATTATAATTGTAATTTAAAGTTCAAATGACTAAATATGCCGAAGCATTTGCATCTTTTAAATTCGGACTTGTATTACCCATTTGATGCAAAATTAATTTGAAATCAGATAAAGATATATATGGGAGCTATATCCAAATCTTAACCGATATCGATAAAATTTGGCAAAGATATTTCTGAGCTGTATTTGATATATTTCCCTGAATATAGTTGTTACGGAGTGCATATTATGGATGTGGGTAAGAAATACAACAAGTCGGATGAACAATATATATGGGAGCTATAGCTATATCTGAACCGATCTTCACCAAATTTGGCATACTACCTTTTAGACTCAATTTGGTCGTCCGTGCCAAATTTCATCCCATTTGGCCAAATATTAGACGTTTGGGGCACAATAAAAGGCAAATCGGACGAAGTTATATATGGGAGCTATATCCAAATCTAAGTCGATCTCGATAAAATTTAGCAAATGCATTTCTGAGCTGCATTTGATATATTTCCCCTAATATTGCTGTAATAAATATTGACTAAAATAATAAATCGGATGAACAATATAAATATGGGAGCTATAGCTATATCTGAACCGATTTCGATCAAATTTGGCATAGTTATTTTCAGACCTAATTTGGTTGTATGTGCAAAATCCCTGTGCTGATATTACACATTTGGTGCACAGTAAAAGGCAAATCGGACGAAGATGTATATGGGGGCTATATCTAATTTTTTACCGATTATCTCCAGTTTAAATGGGGTTCATCCTTGGGCCAAACAAATGTTGTTTGGAAAATTTCATCGCAATCGGATAATAAATGCGACATGCATTTTGTTCAGAAGAATACATGGACAGACGGACTGACATGCATAAATCAACTCAGAAAGTGATTCTATAGCTATATCTCGCTCCCTTCTCAATGTTACAAACAAATGCACAAAGACATAATACCCTTACCACTATGTGGTGTAGGGTATAAAAACGTGGGTCTATATAGAAAAGGTTTTGCCAGAAGAAGTAAATCCTGTTACAAATTATAAATACAAAAAAATCCGTTAGAAAATGTAACATAAAACATTACATTACCAAGTATCCCAAGGTCCCATTAGGTCCCGTTAGGGGTTACGCTAAAACGAAAATCTATATAGACAATTATCGGCCACAGAGATTGGTATATATTGCAAACGTGAAAGAAACAAATATGGTACACTTCTCTTTAAAAATATGGTTCCCTTGATCAAATTGTCTAATATTAGAAGGATACCGAATCTAATTTGTCTGCTGCAGGGGCAATCATTAAATATCGAAATTTTAACAATTCTGGTGGAAAACTTGGCTTAAATCAAAATAAGGGGGCTAAAGGCAAACGGACCTAAGTTGAACATATTCGGTCATAGTAAGGGTCGATTATTTCGAGGAGTTCAAACTGAATGACAAATTTAATGTATCCCCTCCCAATTCTATAGTATTTTGGCGGGTATATAAATTTATTGCTACCAAACAGTTAGCTGACAAACTAACGTACATATGTGCATGTTGCGGCATAGGCACATTAGCTATCTGTTAAACATGAACATTAACCTTGTTCAACGAGATATACCTCGATGGTTGAATGTTCCTCTAGACTTCGGAAACCGTTAATGTTTAGTCCCGTCTTCGCCTTCAAAATACGTAAGCAGAAATAAAATAATGACTGAATTTGCTGCATATCATCATGGACTGAAATGAAGCAAATCAATAATTGTGTTTATACATGTTGTGACCGAACACACATGTCGTGTATGAAGCAGAACATCGAACAAGAAACATTGTGTTCGTATCGAATAAGGAGGACATACATATTTGTGGCGAGTGTGCGCCCGGCGAGTCACTGGTATGAAGACTGATGGGGTACTTTTGGGCAAAGGATGGTAAGTAACAAGTTGTTGTCCCATAAAAGTGTCTTACCGTCTTCAGTGCATAGTTGGGCACATGTTTGCTTGTATTCCTGTGTGTGTGCGTGCATACGGACGTGTGTATAAACAAAATCGTTTAAAATTTTGTTTGCATTCGAAATCTATGTTTGTACGCTTATTTGTATCAGTCAACTACTATGTGTTGGGGAATTGTTTGCTGATTTCATACTGTGCAGAACTCTTTAACAATCGGCATGAAAGGAAGTTTATTCGCGCAAGGAAATTATAAACAACAGAAGACGATTTTAGAACTAGTTTCGCGGATAAACTCATAGTGAAGAGTTCGTTGAGCGCGGCGACGGGATTAGCTAAATTTTTTAGTCCCAAATAATTTATGAATACAGCGAGAGCGATATAAAAGTATTTTAAAAAAAATCGCAAATTGAAATTAAATACGAGACTGTTTATGGAATAGTTATTTACAGTACATACTTTTGAAAATGGATACATCAGTTTACCGCCATATGAATATTGGCATGAACACAAGAGGAAAACGTCCCTTGCGAAATATGACACCAAGTGATAAGGTGCGAGCTATTCAACGCATCCATAATGGTGAGACTAAGGCGTCTGTCTCAAGAGACATTGGTGTGCCGGAATCAACGTTAAGAGGCTGGTGCAAAAATGAACAAAAACTTCGATTCATGTGTCGCCAACTGGATGCCTCGGATCAACTTAATTTTGCACTGGGCGTGGAAAATCCTCCAGAAAAACGATTTCGTTGCAGCAGTCACATCCAGTCTACTCATGCTTCCAACGACTTCCTTTATAGCCGGCTGTCCTTGAATGGCTTCCCGTTCTCATCAAACAACTTTATTTTAGAAAAGAATCCAATAACTGATATAATTAACAAGCACATCGATGCAGGAAACGATCAAAAGCAGTTTAAGGACTCATTCATCCAGCAGTCTAGTCTCGTTATGCCGGACGTTGGTTTATTGAACCGAGCGTGTCCTCAACTGCCACTCATGCCGAATTCCAACTTTCTCCCGTTGCTGCGTTCGAATTCTGGCCTTCAAAACGATTCACGTTCCTTCGAAGTCGGAAAAGTTAGGACTGCATTGCGTACGCCAGATGTTTCCAAAGTCAATGTATCGCCGTCAAGCAAAAAATGTAGCATCAACTGTGTACCTTCATCAGGTATGAAGAATTTGCTACCAGCCGACGATAATCCTAAAGCAAACACCCTCTCTGCATATACCAAAGACAAAAAGCTCAAGTCAATAAGTTCATTAGTTCCTGATATTCAGATCGAATCAGGCTCTCTTTTTGGTCAGATTCAAATACCAACCACAATAAATAGCGATACTGAAAGTACTCTTATCGAATGGTGTAAACTTTTTAACGCTAGCTTAAACTTCTTAGCCCTAGCCGCGGCTGCAGCATCACTACACCCCAATACTGCTGGTTCTACAACAGTGGCAAGTGCCGATAGCATTCTTCCTGCGGACAAAACAGACTCCAATGCTGATGGTAAACTACAGATTTCCATCGAACAATCCCCGATTCCTGTAATCTACACAAATAGCGATTTATCTAATGACAGCTATTTCGACAGCGAACCAGAGGATTTATCAGTTCGCTCTACAGCGTCAAAAGTTTCCAGTTCATCGAATAGTCGGTCGCAAAGTCCGAGGTTGCTTTCTACCTCCCCAATTCAAATGACATCCTTCCAAAATCATGTTGATCACTAAGGCACACCACTTACCACCAACCCAATGAATGTACATACCGTTAGTTTTAATAAATATAAATGTACTCTCATATTTACAATACAAAATATATACCTACTTATAAATAATTTAGTCTATTGTCCTTGCTCCAAAAGATTCTGTCATTTGATCATATATCATTCCTGCTAGACTTTTGTATAAGTAATAACTAGAAACGTTGTAATTATCAAAAATTATCATATTTAAATAAATTTACTTTTAACAACCAATTAATATGTTGCATATTTTTAATGAAAATAAAATGATTTGGATCCTTTGCACCAAGCAAAAAAATCCCAAAACCAAATAATTTATTTTCCAACCAATATTTGGCAGTCTTACCTACATACCCATTATCCTACTAAATCTTACGATATACGTAGTTATCTTCTGAGCACTAAAAATCAACAACTAAGTTGAAAGAAGAATGCACTTTTCGGCTTTTTAAACCCTCCACCATAGTATGGAGGGAATATTAAGCTTGTCATTCCATTTGTAACACCTAGAAATATACATTTAATACCTTACAAGGTATATATATTCTTGATCAGCATAAAATTCTATGTCAATTTAGTTGGTGAGAATATCTGTGGAAATTACTCTAGCTAAAAACGATGTTTTAGTTCTGCAGGATTTTTATACCCTACAACACTATGTGTTGGGGATATTATAAATTTGATTGGGCCAAAAATTATGTAACACCTCGAAATATTGGTTTCCCGCATAGGAAAGTATACATGGATCTTCCTATCTCGCCGAGCTGAGTCGATCTAGCTATGTAAGCGGCCATCGGACATAATTTAGCGGGTAAAAACACTCTAACTTTTATGTAAGGAAATGAGAAAATTTCCAATAAATATTTTTAATCCCAGCCAAATAAATAATACATTAAAAGGTCACTTATGACCATTAAAGTGATGCTGATAGCCAAGAAATTGGATATATAGCAAAATAGGAACAATATATATGTAAAAGAAATAGATCTAATTTATTCTGCTTATAAGACAAGAACCGCTGGGCCGATTTTCACAATTCCCAAGGAAATCTAAGAAAACGCGGAAAAATATAGCAATAAAAAAGTGAATATCTTTTGTTCTTTTTTTTAATTTTTGTCATATTTGTATCGCATGCGAATTTTTCAATTTGACTTACAATTTTGAATTGTAAATTTTTTAAAGTTTTACACCCTGCAACACTACTTTTTGGGGGTATTATATGCATGTCTCAATTATCGTCCGATCCTCACGAGATTTTGGATGGGGTAGGGTTAGGGTCAGAATTAAAGCCTATTGTTCTTAAGATATACATTTCAGTTCAAATGGACTAAAAAATTTTAATTTTTCTAATTTTTTAGTCCCTCTATAGACAACAATTGGAAACTAATCGACACGGAATTTCGCATCAGAAGAGAGTCTGGGACAGGGGCATTATTTTTGACATTATTTCAAAAACGAAAGCTTCCAAAATAGATTTGGACATAAGCGGACTTCGAATAAATTGTAGTATTGTAGGCTATCATATGGTCGGCCCCGCTCGACTATAGCCGTTGCTTACTTGTTGGTATTAAAATTGGGCCATGTAGGCAGATTTAAGGTGTACTGGACGTTTTCGTCACAATTTTTCCCAGTATGTAGGAAATATTCTTGAACTGTCTATTTTGGAAAAGTCCCCATATAATGGTGGCTCCCTACATATGACATTTTTTTGACTTTGGTGACTCTGTTCAACGTAATTAATTCCAATGACTGAAAATAAGCATGGATCGGTATAGCCCCTTTATATATGTTTCATTCGATTTTTTGTTTAAGTCCCCTACATCCGTAATATTCACTCCACAACAACAATATTTGGTGCCAGATATGAGATACCACTTAGACATAACTTTTTAATTCTGAACCAAATGTGTAATATCGACTCAAATAGGATGTATTTTGGTACATTCGACAAATTTCAGCCTAGAAGCACCATTTGGTGAAAATCATGCACTCTTTAGCAAAGGCACAAAAATACAAGATGTACAAATTCCTCAGTCATATTTAATGGAAATCGATTCAGTTCCATCGATTCATAAAATTTCCATTCGATATAAAACCATAATACACATTCAAAAAGAATCATAGTTACTTTGATTTTATAAATTTCCAAAATAAACATTTATATGTTACGGGTAGCTCTGCTAAATATGGCTATATAGTGGCTTTACTGGTTTAAAATAATTATTGCTAAAAATATGTAAGATGGTCTCTGTGCTAACTCAATTGTATTGTGTCTAGGATGGTCGGTATTGAAAATGAGATATATCGTTTTGGTATAAACGCCATATAACGGTACCTCATAATATTCGGTATTTTAATGATTTTCGACACATTTTTTACGGATTTGTCCAAAAATTGGTATTTGTAGTTCATAATGGGTTCTAGGAAGAACATTGAAATACGCAACGATATTCGGTATTTTGATAATCCTAGTCCCATTTACATTTCAAATTTTGAATTTAAGACTTGCAATAGATAAAAATCGTTGAAACCAGATATTATCTGCACTCCAGAAATGCCTCTGTCGAATTTCAAAGAGATCGGTTCAGATTTGGATATAGCTCCCATATATACATTCATCCGATTTCAGGCTCATTGTACACCAAATGCCTGACCGAATTTATTATAGGAAAAAGTACATAAAATTTGGTAAAATTTTGATTTAAAAGTCACTTACATGCGTAATATTCACTGCACAACAAGGATATTTGATACTGGACATCAGATACAGCTCGAAAATACCTCTGCCAAATATTGTCGAGATCGGTTCAGATTTTTATGTAACTTTCATATACATTTTCTTCCGAATTTAGGTTAAATATTTTTTAATATAATTCTTGACGAAATTATATCATGCACTATATAACAAGGTTATTTGGTACTATAGGCGCAAAAGCCTCCGCCAAATTTTTTGAAATCGATTCAGAGTTGGATGTAGTTCCCAAATTGTGACTGCTCCAAAGCCATGATACACATTCAAATAAGGTTCATAGTTGGTATTATCTACTTCACTTAAATTCACTACATATATTTTTTATACCCTGCACCATAGTATGGAGGGTATATTAAGTTTGTCATTCCGTTTGTAACACCTAGAAATACATATTTTAGACAAGTTTACTGTTAGCCTTATACCATTACAAAGGCGTGTGGGTCAATGCTTCTTAATAAAATCATATCCCAAATTCCACCACACATTCTGAATTTTATTGGAATCGGGCATACATATCGTGTTTGGTACATAACATATATGAGATCGGCCGAAAAATATATATATGGGTGATGTACCCAAACCTCAACCGATTTCAATATAATTTGGCAAATTTATTTTTGTACCAAATTTAGTCACTCATGCCGAATTTCATTAGAATCGGACATACGTACCGTGTTTGGTGCATCAAATATGTGAAATCTGCCGAAAATATATATGGGAGCTTATCTAAATCTGAACCGATTTCAATATAATTTGACAAATTTATTTTTGTACTAAATTTAGTCACTCATGCCGAATTTAATCGGAATCGGATATTCTTGTCGTGTTTGTTGCTTCAAATACATGAAATCAGACGAAAAAATATATGAGAGCTATATCCAAATCTGAACTGATTCCAATATAATTTAAAAATTTATTTTCTGATCAAATCCGGTCACACATTTCAAATTTCATTAAAATCTAAAATACATATCATGTTTGGGGCATCAACAAAAAAAAAAAAAAACTAACTGGTTAGAAAATAACATAACATATGGGGGCTATATCCAAATCTGTGCCGATTTAAATATAATTTAGTAAACAAACTTTTTAGACAAATTCCATCACTCATTCCAAATTTCATCGGGCGAAAATATATATGAGAGCCATATCTAAATCTGAACCGATTTCCACATAATTTGGCAAATATATGTTGTGATGAAATCCCTTCAATCATTCCAAATTTGGAGACTCTATCTGTAATCGGTCAATAGATATGTGCCTATAAAATCTTAATTTTTGGGAGGCACCCCGATTCTGATGCTATATCTTCAGTTCCAAGTGGAATTTTAAAAATGTATATAGCCTATGTTACTTTCAGGCGATCTTGCAGTATACTTGGAAATTTTCAGGAAAATCTGTTCAGCGGTTTTCTAGTCCATAAATTACAAACAAACAAAGGTACAAACATTTTCCTTTTTTATATATATAGAAGAAGACTAGCTGGCCCCGTCTTATGGCCCATACTATTAGTCTTCAATGCATATTTCTTAAAGCATTATAAAACACAGATTTGATTTACATAAACGGCACAATTTTTATTATAAATAACGGCTCCATAGTAATAGTGTATTCATGGCTTTTATATGAATTCAAAATTTTGTATATGAATATTTATTGGTTAAAAAATAAAAATAACACAAATTCAAAAATTTTAAAAACATTATTATTGTAATACTTTAATGTGTAAACACACAAATAGCTCTGTCTTCCAACACGTGAAGATGCCAGGAACAGCTGACCATGAGAAGAGCAGGAACATGCTAAATTTAGTCCGCATACAAAAAGGGATTGTCCTTCGGATTTATAAATTTCATAGCAAATGCCAAGCGTACTGGAAACTGCAATCTTTTGAAGTTGAAAGGCAATTGTAATTGTTGCAATTAGAGAATTCGAGGTAGCAACATACTTTCCAGTAATAATCATACCCTCAATTAAATTTTTGTGTAGTTTTTATACTCTCCACCATAGTATGGAGTGTGTATTAAGTTTGTCATACATAAAATTCTATGTCGAAGCGATGTTCGTCCGTCCATCCGTCTGTCAGTCTTTGGAAATCACTGTAGCTTCCGAACGAAATAAAGTAGGTTGATAAAATTTTACTCAAATGTATATTATGTCTGCCGGACTTGTGTCATTGAAAATGGACCATGTAGGTTCACGTTTTGGTACAGCCCCCATATAACGGTACCTCCGCATATTCGGTACTTTGACGATTTTAGAGCAGGGGTGCTCAAGAAAAAATATCTCTTTTCAGTCAAATTTCTCTTTGCTTATTTAAATCAAAAACAAAACAGTGTTAAGTCATTATTTATACAAATATTTTTTATCCATTTGCTTTATAAATTATTTTGGCAAACATTCGTGTTTAAACACAATTAAATTGAGCCGTAAAATATAAAGAAAAACAGAATTTTAATTTTCTCTTAAATTATCTCTTTTT